TTTGGCGCACACAAGACAGTCAACTCAGCGCAAGACGCGGACGAGAGAGCGCTCGCGCCGAGACTGCTTTTTGCAAGTTCAACCTCGCGCGATGTCTTTGGCACCAAAAGAGTTTTGATGCTGAAGCTTGGGGATCTGAACTCTTGGTTCTTGTAGAGGGTACCATGGGCAACCACCCCGGAACAACTCCAAAGCACCAATCCACACCACCAGTTCAAACCTCAAGCTGAGGCGCGCGGTTGCTGGCAAGCCCATGTTTTTATGGCAAACATGTGATCAACGGCCTTCCTTATACCTTCCCATCGCCCCGACACCATTTTTGTTGGCCGGTGCATGCAGTTGGGCGTTGCTCAGAATTAGGGACCCATCCGCGCGATTGGTTTTCTTTTGGCGTCCCTTTCAAACAATCCAACAAAGGGGTCCTCCATTCTGAGACACGCTCATTTGTTGGCGGCGAGTTCTTGTGCTGCAGCCGCGCTCGCCGCTTTGGCTAGGGTTCGCAGATCTCGGATCGCGGTTTTTGCTTGATGGCGCGAGTCATGCGGCGGTCGCGAGGGGCACTGGCACTGGCTGGGGCGCTCGGCGGAGAGTTTGTGCTGATCCAGCCACGTGTGATGGCACGTCCATGCCAGCAACCAGTGGGTTGCATGTTTTTTTTGTTTCTTTGGGAGGGGGGAGTCTCTTTTGGTGAGTTTTGGAGAGGAGAATGTACTAGATGAACCACCTGAATTTCAAGACGAAACCGTGTAGTGCAACGAACATGGCGGCCGAAGCGAAGGAACGCAGAAGACCTATGGCAAGACCTGTAGTTGCAGGCAGGGAAGGTTCAAAAAAGGGGGTTGTTCAAATCAATCCTTCATCCTTATGCCAGAATGCCAAACACAGAACTTTGACAGGGATTGCCCAGACATATGGGTGTGTCTTCTTTTAGGGGACCCCCCCCCAAAAAAAAACAAACAAACAAACAAACAAACAAACAAACAAACAAACAAACAAACAAACAAGCAAACAAACAAACAAACAAACATGGTGGTTTAAAACCACCAACAAAGGGGTACCTGGAGTCTCCATGCTCCGTTAAAAATGGGTGTTACAAATGGGTTCATGACCCCATTGTTTTGGGTAGTGACCCTCGTTTTGAAGGGTCATGGAGACTCCAGGTACCTGCCAAAAAGCAGCCCCAGACACGGAACCATCACACCGGCTTTGTGCCTGCCAAAGAGGAAAGGTTCTCCCCCACTTGGCAAACGAATCGGGCTTGTCTTTTTTTGGGGGCACCAGATGGTATTAATTGGAGGCCAAAAGGCAAACCCACCACTTGGGCCTATGTTGACGCGTAATGTTGACCCCATACTAATCAACCCCAGTTTACTACTATGGGGGTGCTCCCCTTTCAAAGTGATGATTCCCCACTAAACCCAGGGACACCCCCCTATCAATAAACTGAGGTTGATGAAACATATGGGGACAACATTCCATTTACCAAGGTGTCGTTTTCGTGTATTTTGCGAGCCACAGCCACATGTTGGATCCCGGTCCATCAAAGGCCACCTGTCGTGTCTCGATGAGGTGAGCTTGTTGGCGGCGCTGCCGGCCCTGCTGACCTCTGCCTTCACCGCAGGCCGATTCGGGATCGACGGATCGAGTCGATGTGTCTGAAGTTCGGTGCGGTCGGACCAACAGTTTCTTGGGACGGCGGGGATTTCCAAAGAAGCGTGGGTAGGAGGGAAACACACAGTTGGACCGACCCCCTTTGGTGGACATCATTTAGATGGTGAGTTATATCCACCACCCATTTTTGAGGGTGTCCGCAGTAACACGAAGCAAGGCCAGAAGTGCACGAGATTCAAGGGATGCTTGGCAGCCTGTCAGTTTTTGCAATCCACAAGCCTTCTGCACGTGTTTGCATCCATGGAACCAGATCCAAGTAGAACCAGCACGTGAAACTGTGTACCTATGGCGAGCTCACCCTTGCTGACAGGAGGTCCTTTACTTGGGGATCCGATTCTTATTCCCTGCTTGGAATTTTGGAATTGCTGTGCATGATTTCAGACTCATGACTTGATGACTTCAAGGATGTCACAACCACGTGCTATGTCTTTTGATTTTTCAATCGTCGAAACCACGACCCAGAAACTCACCCCCCAAGAAAGGGCGCCAACAGAAAAAAACACATACCCTGATGAATTGATTCGACTTGATGTCGATCCAAATTGCGCCAGGTCGGCCGCCGCTTCAGACCACGCCTGCCCTCAGCGCGAAGGCAGAACGGACGAACGGAACGGGGAGAGGAGTCGGGGAAGTGTTGCATCAAGAACCCGAGTTGACGTATTCTTTTTGTGGAACCCAGGACACGAGTCCAGAGGCAAAAAGCAAAAACACCCTCCAACTCGATGCACAGGCACTGCAACAGGTGTAGAAAGCTACCAAATTGGTGGGCACCATTTCAACTTCGATGTACGTGCACTATCCACTTTTGGGTTCCCTATTGATCACTTCATGTTCACACAGCGAAGGCTCCTTTTTCAGATACGAGAGCTTCGCGGCATGTGTACAGTCATGTCGGCGAGCATGTTCCTCGTGACCGTCTTGCACAGCGTTACGTGGTCAGACGTCCGCCCATTGTGGAATACACCATCGCCACGGATGCTCGTTTGCCCGTTTGGGCATGAGAAGGATAGATGTGGCCTCCCAAGTCGGCGCATGACTCTCGGAGAGATGAACACTTGAACATTCACAGAAATGTTCGCAGTTTTGTTTTGCACTACGTCGTACTTCTCGTGATTTTGGCCCTGGCTCCCTGCAATCCAGCGATGGAGGATACGATTCTCGCATCTTCCATTGCTGTATTCCAGGGAGCCAATGCCTGTGTTGTAAGCTCCCCTGACTTCAAGAGGAAGGCTGGAGGCTTGCACATAGCGTGTGCCAGAGCAGTTCAAGATATTTGCCTTCAAAACAGCGCTGGGCTATGCGATGGAAGAAGGACATCATGAAGTTGTAGCTTTTTGGGCCATGTTCAAGATCTTCAGTCCCATGTCGTTCTGGACCGGGCCGCGGACTCCTAAGAGTCCTGTGAGTGTGAGTATGGTCCAGTATGGTTGTCCAGATCGTGCAGGAGATCTTGGTTTCAGCGCTGTGCTGGGTCCATCTCTTCCCTTGCCAGCACTCCCTCAAACCCCGCGGCAGGCTATTGGCTGGTGTTCATTTGGGCAAAGGTCACTTGGATTTGGAGGCGATCTTCAACCGTTTTGACCTAAGCACAAAGGAGGAACTTGCACATCAGCGCCATGTGAAACTGCAGGGAAGGCAACGGAGGTTCCTCGCCGCCAAAAGGGGAGATTGAGAAGAAGATATGGAGGTCCAAGGCATCTTGTGGGATTACATCCGAACATGAAATCAATTCAGATTGACCTTGCCAAGATTGATGAATGCGTAGATGATGGATCACTGTGTGCAGTGTGCCCGATGCTTGGAAAGTCCTTCGTGGCGTCTGCGAATGTACAGAGGTCTTCTTCACAACATGGGCCTGGAAAGCAACAGATGCAATCTGCGCAACTTGAATACGCAGAAATGACAAGAATATGTGTGCAGTGTGCAGACGCTTGTAAAGCAATGATTGGCTTCTGTGATGTACAGAGGTTTTTTTTCTTGCGACACGTTTGCGTGGCAAACAAAAAACCACTGCGCTTGACACGACCCTGCGCAACTCCTTCACAGCAACATGCCCTCCATGAATTTACAACCACAGACGCATTCATCATGGACACTTGGAAGACACAGGGCAACAGGCCAAAAGCGCCAGTCAGCAAACTTGGGATGGATCTCAGGTCCCCTTGACTGGGAGAAAAACTGCAAGCCTATTAGGCCTGGCGCGTGGAGTTTGGAGATAGCCAGTGCCCTCTTGTGCGCTCGTCTTGGCCTGCTTGCGGGTCCTCTTTGAGGGAAGCCCCAACGGTCCCACCCCCCCCCGGAATACACACTTGCTATGTAGATGTGTCCAAGAGTACTG